ATCAATTTATAAAAGAGGATTGACGAGGGTGCTTTGATCGGCATCTGCTTTTATCATTTTTTTTTGTTGTTTGAGGAACTGATTTTCCGCCTTTACGGTGAAAAGTTTCTTTTTTTACCGTTTTGTTTGAGATTTTCGAGTTTTTGTTAAGGTGTCAGTGGTGTCCAAAGTAGGGGAATCCGTAGGCTAACAGTTTGCTTAGGCCTAGTGGGTAATCTTGTATTTCAAGCACGTAACATCAAATGGCATTTCATCAAATGGCATCTTGCTGTGTTCTAACTAATCGTAAATGAGAACGAAATGAAAAAATTACGAGCGAGACCGAAATGCCATTTTGATTTTACCAACCTAAAATATAAAATTACCGCAAAATGGTTGTTAGGCTTTTTGTGCAACTTGATGAACACCAGAAATGATGATTTCGAGAAACGATGGCAAGAAACGGTATTTGTACTTATTGTTAGCGGTTTCAGGTCTTTCTAATAGGTTTCATAAATTTCTCTGGCACAAAGCAGATGTCGAAAGGCCGAAAAAATCGTAAACGTAAAGTAACGTCATCGAATTCGATCACAAACGACTCGAAACCGAATGAAAAAAAGCAACGCAGTTCGAATAAGACTGGAAATGATGATGATAATAGTGATAAAATAATGCGAGAACATGAAGAGCAACACGACGATCTCACCGAATTAGATTGCATCCCGACTCGATGTGTTTTGAAAGAGCAAATCGAAACGGGTATGCGGGCACGTTGTTTCGTCCTTGTTGAAGTGAGTTTTGCTTGTTTCTTACGAGTTTTCCGATTGTCGATCAGCGGTCGAAAGGATCGTTCGTGGACATTTTATCGAAATCAGAAAATTTTTTTGTGAAAATGACACATCGTTGATGATGAGGTGAGCAAAATTGATTAACTCAAAATGAGTTAATCAGTTTTGATGAGCGAAATTTGTGAGTTGAGCAAAAAAGAAAAGATGAGTTGAGCAAAAAAAAATAAACTTAAGTGAGCAAAATAGACAAAATAACGGAGTGGCGTGTCGCTGCGAAGAGCATTTTTATTGAATACGTGACTCAAAGCAAATTCGATAACCTGATCAAGACTTTGAGTGCAGTTGAAGTGTTG